TTTCCTTATTTACTACTTTATTTCAGTTTTATAAAAATATATCATTCTTGGGCATCACATTTTTTAATTCAATAAGAAATCTTGACTCGAAGTCAGAAATGAGGCTTTAGTTTATTCATTTTTTCATCTCTGATTTAAATCTACTTCAAAGCTTGCCAAGATCATTTTAATACCTTCACAAGTGTTTAGGGTATGTCCACTCTGGCCAATAGCATGTTTCCCTTCCCAAACTGCCTTCCAAACGTACACACACAGATACATTTGTATACTTTTTAATCAATTACCAGAGAATCATTTCAGACATAAACTCATTATATCACTCTGGATCCAAGAGTCTCATGATGTGGTTAGATCTAACCTTTAAGATTTTCCAGTCAGTTCCTTGTAAACATACTGATGACTTTAAAGTGATAAACTTGGAGAATGTCTTGTTCCAGCTTATCACAATCCTTACCTGGAATGGGTGTTGGCAAGGAGTGGCCATTAGTCAGGCTCCTGTGCTGCTCCTCACAGCCGCTACAATTCCACCAACTGCTTTGGAACAGACAGTCCCCCACTCCTTTTTCTTTTCCTTATTTGTTGCTTTGCTTTATTTGGTTTTTTAAACAAGACTTCTTGATGCTGCTTCAGAGCACTTAATCTAGGCCATCTTCATTTTGGTTCAGATGAGCTCTAGTCTCCCATTGTGTACCTGATCTTGCTTACTAAGCCTTGATAAATTCATTCTTGAAATATTTTATGTCACATTCAATCAAAATGCATTATATGCTAAAAATAATTAAACACACCTGCTTTATACCATAAAGGAAAATGCCACCTCAAAGGAGCCAAAGAGAAAGTGAAGTCCAAACATGGGACAAGGTGACCAAGCATGATATGCAGATAAGAGTTTAAATATCTCATATGGATAGGCCAAGTCTTCTGTTTAGATGGCCGGATGCCAAATAGTCTCTGCGAGACTAGATTAGCTTCATTCTTTCCTGAGTCTTCATCAGAAAACTGCCCTTAAATGTAACATTAGATTTTATTAAGGCATTTACAGTAAAGGGAACAAGAAAACTTCCTCCACATTTACTATAACATTTTTATATTGAATTCTACCATCCTGCACAAAAAGAAATGTCTTTTGTTAATGTGTGACTTTGTTTTCCTTTGATGAGGAGGCAGTGCCCCATGGTCCTGCTTTCCTTGGGGCTAGGTTTAGGAAATTAAAGGTGGAAAAGTGATGATTAGTTCCACCAGTGATATTAAACTTTAAATTTACAATTTATGCTCCTGCTTACTTTCATACATATTGCATTCCATGAAATTAATCTTAAATGTCATATTTTAGTCTTATGAATGTGTGAATATACTTAAACAAATAATTTCATCTCAGTTCAAACTGATTTAAAGTCTCAATATAAACACATACATGGAAACGTGATTGTGAATCCATAAATAACTCTCGTTAAAGAGCATATTCATTATGAAGACACTTTTCTTCTTAAGAGCTTCAGCAGTGCATTTTTTACTTCCTTGTTCCTCAGACTGTATATCAGCGGATTCAGCATGGGAATCACTGTGGTGTAAAACACTGAGGTCACTTTCTCCTGGACCAGTGAAGCACTAGAAGCAGGTTTAAGATACATAGACATGAGAGACCCATAAAATATCAGAACAGCTGTCAGGTGGGAACTGCAGGTGCTGAAGGCTTTGGACCTGCCGTCTTTAGAGCGGATATGGAGAATGCTGGCAAGGATAAAACCATACGAAATGATGATTGTCAGGCTGGTGGTGACCATGTTAAATCCACCAATGACAAAAATCAAGAGCTCATCAATATAAGTGCTAGAGCAGGAAAGTTTAATAAGAGGGACAATGTCACAGAAATAATGTTTAATGATGTTGGATTTGCAGAAAGACAGCCTTAATATACAGCCCGCATGAATCACGGCATCAGTGAAGCCCACAGAGAAGACAGCAGCCACCAGCAGAGAACAGACCTGAGGGGACATGATAACGGCATAGAGGAGTGGGCTGCAGATGGCCACGTAGCGATCGTAAGCCATGGCTGCTAGCATGTAGCATTCAGAAATGACAAAAATAAGGAAGAAGAAGAGCTGAGCCATACAATCAGAGTAAGAGATAGTTTTATCCCTGAACAAAAACCCTGCCAGCATTTTGGGGGTAATGACAGAAGAGTAGCAGAAATCTAGAAAGGACAAACGACTGAGGAAATAGTACATGGGGGTGTGAAGTTGAGGGTTCATCTTGATTACTGCAATCATGCCAAGATTTCCCACCACAGTCACTACGTAAATCCCTAAGAAGAGGTAGAAAAGGGGCAGTTGAAGTTC